AACAAAAGAACTGAAATATCAATTTCATTTAATTTATTTTCGAGAAAGTTATAATGTATAGCTTTAAAAAGTAAGATTAATAATTAATAGCTTTAAAAGGTAATCACAAATATTTATATTCTATTTGTATAATAAAAGTATTTTTTATTAATAAATGATTAATTAAAAATCGTTGTACAACATGAAAAAATAAAGTTGCATTTATCAAACGTGAATTCTATATATATGTGACCTAATACGATTTTAAATCCTTAATAAACCGAATGCATTTAAAAAAAATGTACATGAAATTTATTTAAAAAATATTTTTTATGAATTAATATATGTATTTAAAACTAATAAATTGCAGCTATATACATAAGCATAAAAAATTTGTAATGTATAAACGTTGAATTTGTTTGATTTTTTTTTTTGTTAAAATAACTCCCCATACAATTACGCCTATTTATATAATTTAATCGATTTAATAAGAATTAATTAAATCGATTAATCTTTCTTTTTTAAATTAATAAAAATATCAAAAAATTTTCATTTATAATAATAAGAAAAAAATAAATATTACACTTATTATAAAAAATGTAATTCTATAATAAGAAAATTAAAAATTTTAATAATTATAACTTAAATAATTAAATTTTGAATTATTTAATACGATCCAAAAATTATCAGTAGTTTCATTTTAACAAATTATCACTAGATGGCGACAGCATATAAAATAAAAATTCCTTCTTAAAAAAATTGCAATTGCATTGGAGTTAAATGACCAATAACTAAAACCTATACTTTATAATTATCAATTAAACCGTAAAAACAAACCGTAAATTACAATAATTCTGAAGCGAATTTATCTAATAATATAAGGAATAACATAATTATTATTATTATTATAGGACGAATCCATCTAAACAAAAATTCTTTTTTGAAAACGTTATTTCAATCTGATATGTGTAACTGCAATCAAATTGATTAATTAAAATAGCTATCAATACTTGACTGCCAAAATCATTAAAAGCACAAATTTAAAATTATATCTATATATTATATTCGTTAGGTGCTACAGGTTTTGGGTTTGAGTCTCCCGCGGTGCTCTGGATGTTTGTAGTGATTCTGAATCCACTTTAAATCGTAGGTCCGCTCTAATACGACTGTAGAGCTTTGGGTGTAGGGCTGGCAACCCTACTTCGTAAAAAAGAAAACAACTCATGTTTTGGAATCTGCCAGTAGGCAGACGGCTCACCACGGGCTGTAGTGCCAATGATGATAATGTATTATATTATAATTTTAAATTTGCATTTAATATATATATATATGGGGTCTGGTGGCCGAGTGACTAGCGCTCGGTGCCACAGGTTTCGGGTTCTAGTCCCGGCGGTGCCATGGGTTTTTTGTAGTAGTTCGGAATCCACTTTAAACCCGGCCTATTATGACTGTAAGAGCGTTGAACGTAGGCCTGACAACCCTACGCCGCAAAATGAAAACATATCCTGTCTCGAAATCTGCCAACAGGCAGTCGGCCTTGGCCCACTATGAGGCTGTTACGCTGATGATGATGATATACATATATAATTTAATTTTAATTAGAACGATCTTTTATAATTATGGTAAATTGGTATTGAAGATGCCTATTGTATTAGAGTGGCTTTGTGGGCGTAGGGTAGTTTTTCTTTATGCGGTACTCAAATGCGGATCAGTTTCCCTTAAAAACTCCTAACAGAAAACGTTTTATTTTCTTTTCGTTTTATTGGTGCAATTTATTGATTTTTTTTTTTTTTTTTTTAGTGGGAACCAGACTGTCCTCTGTCAACAATTTATGAATGTAGTGTTGAATTATGTTGATTATGTAATGAAATATGTAATTTGATGAATGTTGGTTATGAATGTATTCATTATGTAATGAATTATGTTAATTGATGAATGTGTTGATTATGAATTGGAGTATGTGTTGATTATGTAGTGACTTATTATGAATGTAGTGTTGAATTCTGTTGATTATGTAATGAATTATGTTAATTGATGAATGCGTTGATTATGTGACACTGAATGATGTTAATTATAAATGTATTGATTATGTAAGGAATTATGTTAATGGATGAATGTGTTGATTATGATTTGAAATATGTTAATTGATGAATGTGTTGATTATGATTTGAAATATTATGAATATAGTGTTGAATTCTGTTGATTACGTAATGAATTATGTTAATTGATAAATGTGTTGATTATGTATTGAATTATGTTAATTATGAATGTATTGTTGCAAGCTATCTGCAATAATTACTGAGTAATTACTATACATTTGTGTATGAATAATGCAGTCACAAGTGTCCGACATTAGAAGGAGGAGGAGGGGAAAAATAAATAAATAAAAAATAAAACCAAGAATGACAGGTAATGGGAGACGTAAAATAAAAAAAAAAAATTCCACCCTTTAAACTTGTAGGTTATCAGACAATTCCTTAGGTTACATAACTGCGAAGGCCACCGACAGAGTCGATATAGAGGTCAAAATCGAGACTTGACACCAGACACGGCACCTTTTTCTGATAACGAACTAATAAAGCATGCATCCCATTCAAGGGTACCGCGAAAAAGAAAGAAAGGGTTCACGGCGCGAACCTTCGAGTCAAGGTGAATGGGGATCTTCGCAGAGAAGGAGGTGCCATGGAGAGAGAGGATGAACTTGAGTCTACCTTGAACCAACCTGGGGTGACCTTCTCCATCAGCTGGCGACCTACATCACAGTCCGACTGACCTTCGCCTTCTCCCATAATGTGCCAAGGGCAGAAATCGTTTTCCGAAGCTACTCTTTTAGAAATGCGCGCGACCCTGGGATGGAGTGCGTTTATCAATCGGACGGACGTCACAAGGCGCGCGTCACGCCACAAAATTAAAAGAGCTTTCTTTCTTTCATTGTTTGATGTGGGTGAAGTACGCGCGCCAGCTGCTGCGGTGGCTCGGGTTCCGTGTTTGCGTAAACGGAGAAAGACGTATGAGCTTTTTCTCTTTGGGGAGAAATGTTTTCTTTGTAATAAATAAACGTGCTGAAATGTTCACGAAATAAAAATTATTTTTCGCCACAATAAAATCACCAAGAGAAACTACTGAAATACAAATAAAGGAACGAATTGTTGTAATTAAACAAAATATTTTGTGGAATAATAACTCCAACAATAATTTAACTGAGTGTACATCAAGGGTGATTGCGACGGAGTGAGAGAAGAGTTTATTTGTCCATCTGAAAATTAAAGATTTATGAATGTTAAAACGAAATTTTCAGGATTATCAAAACACAATTACACCTATATTAAAAGAGTGAGAAAAGAAAAAACTCTTCTAAAAATAAATTTATGTAGGGATCCGCAATAATTTGCAATTTCATAGAAATTCCATATAACTTCATACAATAAATTTTCAGAATTTTTTTTTTTGTTCTAATGCGGCTGGCAACACAAACTAGACAGTTGTCACTAATGCCTTAAGGCAAACGCTGCACCGACGTTACTCACTTAGCACTACCCATGAGGTGTGTGTAGCTTGAAGATAAGTTACGGACGCGGAGTAACAATATCTCCGCAATGCGGGACTCGAACCCGAAACCTGTGGTACCGAGCGCAAGCCACTCGCCTATTCAATCCCCAATCATTAGTCGGACTACCTGGTGGGAGTTTTCCTGGTTTTCTTCTATATGATACGCTAATGTGGGGTAGTTCCCCCCTTAAAAGTCCTCCCGGAAGGCACTGTCCTCCTTCTTCAGCTACTCCTTTATTTGACTCGAATCAAACAAGAAAATAATTTAAAAGACACCATGCTAAATCAAGCGTGAAAATTAGTTAAAATGATAACTTCCGTTTTACCGGCAATAGCCAATAAAAAAATCCAACTGAGGACGATTAATCCGGGTTTCTCCCATACGGTACGCAGATTCGGGGTAGTTCCCCCTAAAAGTCCTCCCTTCTTCAGCTACGGAGGAGAAGTAAAATTCTCCTACTACACCACACCACACCACATCACTGTGGCTAGAGCTGAGTTGCCCCTTTACAGTTCGGGAATGATATGGGTGAGAAGAAGTCTGATTGGGCTCTGTGACACTCTACGGTCATATGAAACCGGGACCTATGACTAAAAGTGAATTTCGAACCCGGTACCTGTGGTACCGATTGCCACTCGGCCATCAGACCCCCAAACTTCTATGTGTGCACCATCAGAAACATTAGCTGCACCCCTCTTAACTCGGGATACAACAACCAATATAATGTGGCACTTCCTATAACTCCTTTATTTGACTCGAATCAAACAAGAAGATAATTTAACAAGGTAAAAAGACACCATGCTCAATCGAGCGTGCAAAAATAGTAAAATGATAAGTTCCGTTTCGCCGGTAGTAGGCGGAATAATAGTAAAACGGACTGAGGACGAGAAATCCGGATTCTCTCCCATACGATATGCAAAAGCGGGGTAGTTTCCCCCTAAAAGTCCTCCCCTAAAGCACTGCCCTCCTTCTTCAGTTACACGGAGCAGAAGTCAGACTTGTCCTACGGGTGCTCCATCAAAAACATTAGCTGCAATCCCTCTTCCTTACTTTCATGAGGGATACGACAACAACAACCAATATAATGTGGCACTTCCTATAACTCCTTTATTTGACTCGAATCAAATACGAAGATAATTTAAACAAAATAAAATGGCACCATGATCAATCAAGCGTGAAAAATAGTTAAAACGATAACTTCCGTTTTTACCAGCAATAGCCGAAATAATAACAAAACGAATCCAACTGAGGACGAGTAATCCGCGTTTTCTCCCATACGCAAATGCGGAGTAATTCCTTATAAAAGTCCTCTCGTAAAGCACTGCCCTCCCTCTTCAGCTACACGGAGCAGAAGTCAGACTTCTATCTACAGGTGCCCCACCAAAAAATAAAAGCTGCACCCCTCTTCCCTTTTTCCAAGAGGTATACGTCAACAACAACCAAATAGTAGCCAACGGCCGTACCATAGGAAGTTCTCGTTAGATCACCGAAGTCAAGCATCATTGGGAGCGGTCAGTACTTGGGTGGGTGACCACCTGGGAACACTGCGTGCCGTTGGCAAATTTGGGACCTGAATGGCCGAGTGTCTAGAGCTCTGGCGCTCGGTGTCACAGGTTTTGCCATGGATGTTTGTAGTGGTTCGACTTAGGTCCCGGTCTTATATGACTGTAAAGAGCGTCACGGAGCAAAGTCATTCTACCTACGGGTGCTCCATCACAACAGAAGCTGCTTCCTTCCCCTTCAATCATGAGTCCATATGGGCTCGTGGGCTTGGCCAGCCAAGTGGGATAAGAAACAACAACAACAAGCAACAACACAACCAAATAGTTATAGGAAGTTCCACATTATAATGTGACGCTTAATATAACTCCTTTATTTGACTTGATGAAAAAAGAAGATAATTTAATGAAGTAAAATGACACCGTGCTAAATCAAGCGTGAAAAATAGTTAAAATGCTTCTGTTTTACAAGCAAATAGCGGAAATGATAACAAAACGAATCCAACCGAGGACACGTAATTTCACCTCTTGGATAATCGCGGAAGCGCGGCGCCGTTTAATCCAATTTCTGGGATAGGGCGGAAACCCTACATGCGTTGGCGTCGGCGGACAAATCGCTGGCTGACCTCACTCGGCAGCCTCGATGCTCGGGTGACCTCTTGGGATTTCCGGTAATCTCTCCCGAATGAGAGCAGGTCCTTTGTTTCGGTTTCATCGCGGCTCCGACTCGGGTCGAGAATTGGGTTTCAAGAGCGCCGAGGAGGAAGAGATCGGTGTATCTGGGGCTAAAAATTGAGGACCGGGGTATGAATCCGACCCTGTTTCTTTTGCGTCGTTCATTGTCTTCCTGAAATGACGTGGGGAAAAAAAAGTGAAATGGGAATTAAATTCACTTAACACGGTTTCGCTTCTGGGTCGCATTTTTGATACGTAAAGATCTGGATTATGAGATCAAATTATTCCGTTATCAGAAGTAAAAATAAAAAGTTTTTTTACATTTTTGGGAACAAAACTTTATGTGTTATCTGATCCATTGTGCAAACATCAAGGCCAAATTGAAAGGGTTACAGTTAATGCCAATCGACATATCTACTGTTAATTAAGAATTGCTCATGACTTGTCGTTCCTTATTCCACTTGGTTGACAGCAAGATCTAGACCACGTCCAAGAACCTGTGTGGACTCATGGAAGTAGGGAAAGGGGGAGGAGGGGGGCAACTTTTGTAGCGATGGAGCACCCGTAGATAGAAGTCTGACTTGGCTCCGTTTCGTTGAAGGAGGAGGCCATTGCCTTCCGAGAAGACTTTATGGGGAACTACCCCTCATTTGCGTATCATATGATTTGGTTTGTCGTTCTTCGGTCATTTTTTGCACACTTTAGGCTAATTAAACCAGGACTTACAATTTAAAGTGATTTCTGCACCACTAACAAATATACGCGCTATCGCCAGGATTAGAACCTGAATCCAGTGGTACCAAAGACCAGAGCGCTAGCCAATTGGCCACCAGACCGCACATATCGTACGCGACAAAACCCGAAAAACTCCTACCAGGTAGTCCGACTGACTAGGCAAGATGCTGAACATCACAAACGTAATCGAGTCACCTCGTTTTTTGAAACAGTGTTTACAACAAAGCCGCCAGCGGATTGAACCTCCGCCCTAATGCTCACCAGCGGCATACGTTACCGCTGAGCCACTGGGCTGTCAATAATATACTACTAATATATATTATATATATATGCTTATAATATACATATAGATATATATATATTAAACAAATATTTTTTATCTGCTAACATATATTCTGTAAAAAAAGGTAACATACATAAATATACTCTTTCTACACGTAAAAAAAAAATTGAAGAAAAATCGATCATGTTTTTATACTACAATACCAATATATAGAATGTAAAAAAGGAGCTCCGATATTTGAGACCTTAGAAATTATACACGCATGCGTAATATCATGTCTTCTATAAACATAAATTTTTTTTCTGGCTAAAAAATAACTGATCAAATTTTATTTTATGTTTTAAAAATATACTGTAAGTAAATGTATGAATGGAGAATTGTAGCAAACATGTATTAATTACAATAGCAATTCTCGTAAGTATAAAATAAACTATTTGAAAGAATCATATATGTTTTGCTAAGGCAACCGAAAACACCTGATCAACAAGAATGACCTACGGATTTGAAGGGCAAAACCTTGATCGAGGAGAAATTGCTTTCTCTCTCTTTAGCGCCGCGTAACAAGGTCAACCCCTAAAAAAAGCCCCACACATGCAAGCGATGCCCTACATTAACGCCTCTCGTAGACGTAGGGGGCGGGGGGATTGTTTACAAGCAACACAAATTAGCCTATTAAACGAAGGTGGTTACAGTTCACAGTTGACCTCCTAAGAGGGGCAGGAGGAACTGAAGATGCCACTGGGAGAGGACAAGAGTTCGAAATCGGTCGCGGGCCGCCCAACTAGGCCAGCTCAGCACCCACCAAGGGCATAGCATTCCAAAATCTGGGCCACTGCAGTGTTGGCATGGCACCCCTGGGTCGGAGATGGACTGTTCCATGCCCTTCATTTTAATACCGAAGTTGCCATGAAAATAATCGAGAAAAATGGACTCGTCCACATACCGAAATCGGATGACGAGAACAATACAGGTGAATTTGATATAGGTTACGGTTACGCACTCATTCTATAGACCGGAGAAATTCAAACATAGAAGAGAAAAATATCAAAAGAGTTTAACAAAGAGTGAATGATTTTTTGGTTCACATACATTTATGACATAGAAATATACAGCAATATATAATTAATCAGTTTGGTTTTTTTTTCCCTACAAAGCTATTCACAAGAAATTATTTATAAATTAAGATTTTTTTAGTTTTAATTCTTACTAAGCAAATATTATATTAAGATTTTAGATGCACATTTCAAATAAATGTGTAACAATTGTAATATACTATTAATGCTATAAGAAACTTCTCACGCATTTAAATAGTTAAAATATGTTATATAAATGAAAACCAAGGTGCTTTAATTTTTAAAAACTTTAAATAACAAAAGTGATTTTTTCAATTCAATGCTGAAATTTTTTTTAATATTATTAATGCGGATAAAATTGATGAAAATACATTTGTGATTTATAAGTTTAGAAAATTAATTTATTATAAGAAACATTACATACATTTTTCCTTGATTAATACATAAAAAATATAATATATCATATACAAATATATATTCATATTAAAAGGCATTAAGGTCCAACAGAACAATGATAAGGAAACATTTAAAACGGAATATAAAACAATATTTGATGTAGTTTGTCGCTCTACGGTCATTTCTTGCAAACTTTAGCATAATTAGGGACCTATAGTTTAACGTTGAATCCGGACCACTCACAAACATTCGTGTCACCGTCAGGATTCGAACCTGAAGCCTGCGGTAATAAAGGCCAGAGCGCAAGCCAATTGGCCTCTATAAAACAATAAATGAGAAACAGAATGTAATAGGGTTCATGAAATTGAGGTTCTTTAGAAAAAAATGTATAAAATGATTTTGCACGAATTCTTAAAAAAATGTTTCTTAAAACATTAAATTGTAAAAAAAAAATTTGCCTAAAAACCTTGATTAGGTTCTAAATCGAAAGTATCGCGAATTTTTTTTTTTTTCAAGCAATATTACGTACATTTTGGCAAATTATTTTAATATAACTAGAAACAAAAAAATTGACAAATTGCATGTTGCCTTGTGTGATTCTGTAACCTTGGTGTACTTATATCCCAAAAATATATTAATATTTTTCCATATTTAAAAATATTATAAACCGCTACTATTTATTAACATCAATTAAATATATTTGTTTTATCAATGGATATATGACCCTTTCCAGTCGCGCCCGTTCATGCGTGGATATCTTTTCCCCACCGGAGACGGCCGTTACCTTTACCTTGAACGCTACCGGTGACCCAAAGAGCCGAGACCTTGAACACTGTTTCAGGCCAGCGAACGTGGGGGTGAGCCCTTGACCCACTGCCGGCGTCCGGCCGCCCCCGGACCCGTGAAGATCACCTTGTCTGCCCCACATAGCGCCCCGACTCACCTCCGGCCGACCTGCACTGACACCTTTGCATGCAAATCGCATTCGAATGTCAAGGTTAGCAGAGCATCCGTCCAGACACCATTCTCCAAGGGGAAGGGGGGGGGGATAAAAGCATTCACTCGTCGGAAGTTTTATTCTAGTTCCGTATAAATCGGCATAATCATAAGAAATGCTAACTTGTATGATCTGCAATGCCTTTTTTAATTTAATGTAATAAAATATTTAATTTTAAGAGTTATTCTATATTGAAATATATTTAAAAAAAAATATATAAATATAATCGATTGGGGCGCTATAGAAGTTACAAATAAAATTTAATGTAAGAACAAAACCAATATTTAAAAAAAAAAAAAACACTATAGATTCCCAAACGATTTTCTTTTCTTGGAAAAATACTCATTTTCATTTTAAAATAAAATAATAGTCTTTGCTTTCATCAGACGATTTTTTAGAATAATATTATATTAATTATTTATAAAATCTAATTAATTTATTTATAAAATCTTTTAATATATTTTAAGCGTAATTCTACATTATAAGTAATATACATATAAACGGCTGAGCCGTTATACAGGTTACACATATAATTTAGAATTTAATATAAGAACAAAACGCTTAATAGCAATATTAAAAAATTAAAAACTATAGAATTGCAGACGATTTTCTTTTCTTGAAAAATCTCATTTTCACTTTGAAACAAAATAATCGTCGTTTCTTTCACCAGATGATCTTTCAGAACAATTTTAGATTATTTAATTATCATTTATATAATCTTTACCACGTAAAAGTAATTTAAATAAATATTAAGTATAGAAAAGCCCGTGAAAAATAGTAAAAAAAAAATATATATATATATATATATATATAAAAGAAACGTAGGAAGTGGCCAAGAAATGAGAAATGACCACGGACACGAAAAAGGTGATCAAGGAAACGAAAAAAAAAAAAAAAA